AGGAGGCAGCAACAAAAACCATCCCAAAGAAAAGGAAATGCAAGAAAGCAAAGTGGCTCTCCAACGAGGCCTTAGAAATAGCAGAGAGGAGAAGGGAAACAAAATGCAAAGGAGATAGGGAAAGTTACAGAAAATTGAATGCAAACTTCCAAAGAACAGCAAGGAGAGACAAGAGGGCCTTCTTAAATGGACAATGTAAATAAATACAGTCATGCCTCGCATAGCAATATTAATCCGTGCAGCAAAAATAGCTGCTAAGCGATTTTGTCTCTATGCGATTTTTAAAAGCCCATAGAAACACATTAAAACCTGTTTAATGCATTCCTATGGGCAAAAAACTGACCTTAAAGCGAAGATCCTCCATACGGCGGCCATTTTCGCTGCTAAGCGAGGAATCCGTCCCTAAACACAGAGGGCAGCCATTTTTTTTTACCAAGCGGCCATTTTGGAACAGCTGATCAGCTGTTTTTAAATCGTTGCTTTGCGATGATCAGTAAGCAAAACAGAGACCTGATAATTGCAAAACGAAAAAACCCCATTTAAAACATCACAATGCGATCGCTTTTGCGATCGCAAAATCTTCGTCGCTATGTGGTTTTGTCGCTAAACGTTAAGCAAGGCACCACTGTAGAGGAAAATAATAGAAAAAGAAAAACCAGAGATCTGTTCAGGAAAATTGGAGCTATTAGAGGAAGATTTTGTGCAAAGATGGACATGATAAAGGACAAAAATGGTAGGGACCTAACCGAAGCAGAAGACATCAAGAAGAGGTGCCAAGAATACACAGAGGAATTATACCAGAAAGATTTGGATATCCCAGGCCACCCAGATAATGTGGTTGCTGATCTTGAGCCAGACATCCTGGAGAGTGAAGTCAAGTGGGCCTTAGAAAATTGGCTAACAACAAGGCCAGTGGAGGTGATGGCATTCCAGTGGAACTATTTAAAATCTTAGAAGATGAGGCTGTTAAGGTGCTACATTCATTATGCCAGCAAGTTTGGAAAACTCAACAGTGGCCAGAGGACTGGAAAAGATCAGTCTACATCCCAATCCCAAAGAAGGGCAGTGCCAAAGAATGCTCCAACTACTGTACAATTGCACTCATTTCACACGCTAGCAAGCTTATGCTCAAAATCCTCCAAGGCAGGCTTCAGCAGTATGTAGACCAAGAACTCCCAGAAGTACAAGCTGAATTTCGAAGGGGCAGAGGAACTAGAGACCAAATTGCTAACATGTGCTGGATAATAGAGAAAGCCAGAGAGTTCCAGAAAAACATCTACTTCTGCTTCATTGACTATGCAAAAGCCTTTGTGTGGACCACAGCAAACTATGGCAAGTCCTTAAAGAAATGGGAGTGCCTCACCACCTTATCTGTCTCCTGAGAACCCTATACGTGGGACAGGAAGCAACAGTTAGAACTGGATCTGGAACATCTGATTGGTTCAAAATTGGGAAAGGAGTACGACAAGGCTGTATGTTGTCCCCCTGCTTATTCAGCTTATATGCAGAACACATCATGCGGAAGGCTGGACTGGAGGAACCCCAAGCCGGAATCAAGATTGCCGGAAGAATTATCAACCCCCTCCGATATGCAGAAGATACCACTCTGATGGCAGAAAATGAGGAGGAATTAAGGAACCTTGTAATGAGGGTGAAGGAGGCGAGTGTAAAAAAACGGTCTGAAGCTCAACATCAAAAAAACTAAGACCATGGCCACTAGTCCCATCACCTCCTGGCAAATAGAAGGGGAAGATATGGAGGCAGTGGCAGATTTTACTTTCTTGGGCTCCATGATCACTGCAGATGGAGAGACAGCAGCCCCAAAATTAAAAGATGCATGCTTCTTGGGAGGAAAGCAATGACAAACCTCGACAACATCTTAAAAAGCAGAGTCATCACCTTGCCAACAAAAGTCCGCATAGTCAAAGCTATGGTTTTCCCTGTAGTGATGTATGGAAGTGAGAGCTGGACCATAAAGAAGGCTGACCGCTGAAGAATTGATGCTTTTGAATTGTGATGCTGGAGGAGGCTCTTGAGAGTCCCCTGGACTGCAAGGAGAACAAACCTATCAGTTCTAAAGGAAATCAACCCTGAGCGCTCACTGGAAGGACAGATCCTGAAGCTGAGGCTCCAATACTTTGGCCATCTCATGAAAAGAGAAGACTCCTTGGAAAAGACCTTCATGTTAGGAAAGTGTGATGGCAAGAGGAGAAGGGGACGACAGAGGATGAGATGGCTGGACACTGTCATCGAAGCAACCGACATGAATTTGACACAACTCCAGGAGGCAGTGGAAGACAGGAGGGCCTGGCGTGCTCTGGTCTATGTGGTCACGAAGAGTCGGACATGACGACTACTGTAGGAATTTAGGTAAGTACAGTTATATTCCAGCTTTAATTTAGATCTAATTGTATGCAACTATTTGTGTGCCCAATAATTACCCTTGGGTGGCCACCACACCACCACCTGCATCGAAAGTCATATCCAGCCAGTTCAATGGACAATTTGTGTCTATACCCATCTCTTCCACATGCCTGGAAGCCTGGTTTGTTTTCAGCCCTTCACAGCTGAAAAAAATGAACAACAACAACAACAATAATTTCTACTGTAATGTTTATTAAATAGTACTTTTAAAAGGCATTTATACAAATAATAGAAACACAGTTTGAGTTTGTTTTTCTTTAAACACTGAAGAATCACAGTAAAACTTTTAAAGTCCACATGGTCTGGCTCAGCCAGTAAATGGTTGAACTACCTTGAGCTGGTACAATGTGAGAAGTTCTGTTTCCTGCATACAATTATCCCCCAATGGATCTTTCCCCCCTCTTTTTAAAAAACATTCCCCATGCTTTCTTGTCTATCCCTTCCTGCGAAGCAAGGCTCAACTTATACTGCAAGACTCCTGTTGGCCACAATTAAGATGGCATAACGGGGTAAGTGGGATTAACACTTATTTCAACAAAGGCCTTGGTAATGCCATGATACATATTTTTTGTGTGTATGTAATTTTAAAAGGGGGAAATACCTCCAAAGAACATGGATCATCTAATCTAATGGATATTTGCCAATGGAGATGTGCTGACATGAACATATGCACTGTTTTTCTCTCTCTTGCCCTGTTAAAAATACAATCAAGCACAGTTTTCTGCATCGGAACAATAAAGCACCCAGCAGAGAGGTAAGTGAGGTATCAGCTATGCAGCATTATGGCCTGATTCTGCTCACTGAGTGCACACAGCCAAGCCCCTGGACCCATCCGCTTGGGATATATAAAAAAAATGGGACTCTTCCAAAAGGGAGCTGGTTCCACTGGATGAAATTTGCACTCAACTCCCTGTTGAATTCACGCCAAGGGCACTAACATCCTCTGGCCTCCAATTAAAAGACACAAGTAGTCCCACGTAACTACTCATATAATATAATGCATACAGAGAAATCACAAGTACGCGCAAACACATATGTATCGAAATATATGTATACACGAACTCTCACTCTCTGTATGTCTACTATAGACAGCAATACTACTTTCTAATATATTTATTACGCCTGTCAGGTGACTTTCACAGATACAGCCTGTCCTTCATTCACCACACAAATATAAGAGAAATACAGTTGGGGCACAATCCAGTCAGAGGTCACTACATTGGTAATGCTCCCACTGAATTCAAGGGAACTTCTAAGTGGTTAACTGTGGTTAAGCCATGGCCCTTCCTTTAAGGACAGTAGCAGCAATCATGTCTCCAAGATGACCTTGTAAAGTCTCTCTGTGTTTCTTTAAAATGAGGTGTGTTTGTACGTGCCATGTGCTGGATCGGTAACTATCTGTGGAAAAGCAACATGTCATGGTGCGGCTGCAAGGAAGCAGGGCTGTTTTTACGGCAAGGCTTTCCAAACTGCCCAGCCACCTCTACCGAGGAATCCAGACCATCTGACCTGGAACACATGCCCTGGAATGAGTGAGAGGCATGGGCTCAGATCGCAGGACCCAGAGCCTTATGGGCTGTTCGTCTGATGTGAAACAAGTAACCTCAAGAAAAGGGTGGGCTTTTGAACATTGTTTGGTTCCAATTTCCATCAATCTGAATCTGTATGGACAAATTGCTAGGGATTATGGAAGGTGTAGTTCAAAAACATCAGGAGGCCTATATAGATACCTGAAGAAATGCACGTCTCCCAGTCCTACTGTTTATTTTAGGGAAGAATAGTGATGGACAGTCAGGTCTTCAGGGGTGTTCTTCTCCTGATTTTGTTGAGGATCTCCAGAGTTCCTCAGAAAACAATGTGAAAACCACCACTTGATGTCATGGGTAACAGAGTTAAATGGACTTAAATACACCCAATGCTATGCCGGATTGTGGTCTCAACATGCTAATGGAAATACTTTGCTGATGGACTTTATGTACAGTGAAGACCACCAAACATGCCAGAGTCTGGATACTCAGTGCTGTCCATAAGCATCCATGAACAGCCTTTCGATACTTGAACAGCTTGAATGCCATTGATGTTTGAATAATAATCTTAGAACGGCAGAGCTGGAAGGGACCCAAGGGATCATTGAGTCCAGTCCCTGCCAAGGAGGCACAGTGGGGGAATTGAAGCCCCAAACCTCTGTCGCCAGAGACCTAAACCACCAAACGATCCAGAACTTGCTAAAGAGAAGTTCAGCTAACTGACAAGTTACTAAGGTGCACTTTGGTTGTGCAATTGGGAGTGTGAGCGGGCACACAACCAAGACCACCCCAGCCCTCATGAATTAGCTGTGGTGAGTTACGGAAACGCCAGTAGGATTTTGGCTATCACGTGACCACAAATTCCTTACTGTCTAGTGTACCCTTGGCAGAGAACTGCACAAAATCCTCCCTCCTAGAACATAATTGACACCCATATTCTCAAAGACCTATTGTTTACATTCACAAGTTACAGTTTTGAAGTCTACACATACAATGTGCAAAGTGTGAAGCAGCCTCAGCACTCACTGGACTACTACAAATGTGCACCTAGCAGAGAACACACCCACAAGCCATGCCTGCACAACACCAAACTCGAAGTTACAGCAGTGTTGCAGCAAGTGCATGCTAGTGCCGATGCGTACTGCTGAGCTCTCGGATGTCTCTACTCAAGTGACCACAGAACTACAGCAATTCTGCCGAAGATCTCATCTGCTTAGTCTGGAGATCTTTTTCCACATCTCAGTCGCTTTGATTTCTCCCAAGAAAGTGGCTCGAAGGCGAAGGCGGCTGCTCAGAGTGGAAACAAAAGGCATTGGAAGCCGAAGCTTGGCATTTATACACTTTTTAAAAAAAAAACTCATCTGCAACATACCTCAAGCATGGCACAGCAGTACACAAGACAGCATCAGAAATATATTTGACCACTGGAAAGGACAAAACTCTACCCAGTAGAGAGCTAATAATGAAAATAACAATATGCTGCTGATGAAGAAAAAGATGATAATGGAAAAGAATGGAAGAGGAACAGGGAAAAGGGGGAATGCCTCTCATGTATTCTGATACATCACACATCTCTATGTGAAGGGGAAAATATTTTCTAAGGCACTTGATTAAAAAAAAATACACACACACACACACATACAAAACCCTTCAAAAATGAACAATTTGCTTTGCAAATTGCAAAGAAGAAAGTTGCATTTTTCTTCCTGAAGGGATAAGAAGGTGACAATAGATTGTTCCAGACTTTTTATTCAACATCCTCGCCAGAATATCAGTTTAGACTTGATACCCTGCAATGTTACCGTAACCCAACAATTTGTAAGGGTTGGGGCCCACGCAGAGACGTACATCTCCAATGAGGTTACCCCTCTGCTGGGCAGAAAACAAACAGGATCACTGCCACTGAGGTCAAAACACTTGTTCAAAGGGCAGGCCATCTTGCAAGCCTTTGCAGAGTTTATCCCTTAGTACTGCTAGCTAATGAAGAAATTTAATCTTGCCTGTCTGAGGAGGTAGTGGGCTGGATAACCATATTTACGCCCACCCTCTTAAACCTACCTTTTGCCCCATTAAGAGTGGCCACAGCATTCACAAAATAAAGATATATAGATATATATATAGATATATATATATATAGCAGCCTGTCTTCCTCTTGAAGCATATAAAAAGCCATCTCCTGAGTTCTTGGGCACCTTATAATTGTGTCTTTTGTTTGCTGCCTTTTTTTTTTAATAATAAAAGAACTTTTAAAAAAAGAGGGACAGAAAGGAAAGTAAAAGAAAGAGCCCTTGTGATAAAGGCCTCTGCTGTTTCAATCCAAGATCTGGATTTAATAAATGGCTCTTATTCACAAATCACTTTAAGGCTCTTCAGCTTCTCTTGAGGAGGTGCTTCTGTTGAGTTTCACACCTCAGGCTGTCTTTCTCTTTTGCTTTTGTAATCTGTAGAGAAAGCACTGCTGCTCCTGTTGACCTGCCAGGCTAATCCTCCCCCCCACCTCAAAAAAAAAATCCCTTCCCTGATTTTAAAAAAAGGTAAAAGCAACAACACACTTTCATTTTGGAGCAGAGACAAAGCTGCGGCTTGGGGAGGGCAGTGGGGCTTCTATTACCTAAGAAGAGATCCCTTAGAAATGAAGGAGCTTTTCTGAATGACAGTCAGCTGGATGGGACTTGTGTGTCTGCATGCACCTGTGTGTGTGTGTGTCACTTCATGTCATTTCTAAAGATAGAATGGGGCAGCAAAATGGAGGGGTGGAGGAGAGACGCTCTCCGGCCTTGGCTGCCAGAGAAAGGAAGTGGGAACACCCTGCTCCTGCCTTCCTAAATGCAGACTTACTCCTGTGGGTTGGGATTGCTCCTGTAAGACATAAAAAAAAATTACAGCACTGCAGCCCCTTTGCTTGTTCCAACCCAACTCTTCTCGTTAAAAAAAGAAAAAGAAAAAGAAAAGAATTAGCCACAGTCCTTGCAGCTCAGAGTTTATGCCTGACTTGATTCTCATCTTCTCCTCCTTTTTGAGAAACAAGAGGGCTGTCAGGGACTCCTCCCCGCTTCAGTATTCCAGGACTGGCCTGTGTAAGATTATGGCATTCAGTTCCCATCTAAAAAGTAATCTTCACCAGCCACTCTTGCTGGAATGAAATGTCAAATGTGATTCTGGGGCAATCTGTCATGCCTCAGAGCAACACTTTTGGTGGTTCATTTTGACCTTGTGCTTGATGCCGTCATAAAGCTCAAAGTTGTAATTCTCCAGAGTCGTGGAGCTCCGAGACGACAGGCCGGTGTAGGAACAGGTACAGTAGAGCAGCAAGCCGGCGCAAATCGCCCCGAGAAGGACCCCGAGGGAGCTCATGGCTATGATGGTGACCAGAATGGGGTCCAGGGTGTAGAGCCAGCTCTTTTCTTTGTCCATCTTCGGGGTGACCGGGGAGTTGGTTGAAAACACGCTGTTGTTCTTCTCAAGGTCTAAGTAGTCTGAAATTGAATGGAAGGAGACTATTAGAAAAAGGAGAGTTCCCCCCCCCCCACGCTCATGTGGCTTGTGTGTAAGACAGCTCTCACAAGCCTGCTTTCAAAGGGTCTGGGAGCTGTGGTGGGCTCGCTCCCACGGAGGTGTCACTGGGCTGAACCACCACCTCTGCCCATATGGTGTGCACGTGGAGCTGTCTCTGTTGCCCCTGCCTGCAGAAACTGGAGACCTTAATTAGGCCAGGCCCATGCACACCGAAAAGCATTTGGAAAAGAGAGAGAACCTGGAGGAAAAGAAATATTTTAACCACCCTCCCTAATAGCAGGAGGAGAAATGATATGGGTCTCTCATATCTAGATACTGTACCTAAGTGGAAGGGCAATTGATGTCTCCAAGCGCAGGGCTAACCTAGGAAGGACACTTTTGCTGCCTGAGGCAGGGTAGCAGATTGTGCTTCACACCCACTTTCGTTACAAGTCACATGACTTAAAGGCAGCCAAGCTAATTTGGTGCCTGAGGCAGGAAATCCCTCGAGCACCTCTCCCCAACCTTGGTGACAACAACACAACAAAGTAACATACAGGGTAAATTGTAGGGCTTTTTCTAGAATTCTTTTGCCTGTTCAAGATATCCTAAATATATCCTGTTGTCTGAAGCAGCTGCATTACTTGTGCCTAATGGTAGGACTGGCATGCCACACTTTCAGATGGTGATTGGGGAATATTTTTTTTCACAGAAGAAACTGTACCACAACATCTAAGCCTATAAAAAGGCATGACACTGACCATAAACTCTAGTTCGGCTTTTGCATAGACAGCATTTTTAACTTGCAAAATGCTCTGCAAGTTTTAAGTTCGCCTTCACCGGTAAAGTTATCTGGCTCTCTTTTCAGCCGGGCTCCTGCACTTTTAATGTATGGACAAGAATTAGACCTTCAGCAGGTGATGCTTTTCCTAAGATACAGACACAGTGATGGAAAAGCTTCACCAGCTGGGCTATTTCCGCTTGCCATGCATCTATTTAAAGCCAAGGAGCTTCCACAGGAAAAAGCTGGCAACTTTTCCAACTATTTGAATTGCATGGAATAGGACCTCTGATTGACAGAAGGTGAATTTCATGAGATCACAGTGCATTTGTAGCAGAGATGGGATTTTTGATTTCCTTGATCTGAACCTAATTCTCCAGTGTCTGGACCACCCTTGTTTCCTGTCAACATCAGTGTCCTCATGTTACTGCATACCTCCTTCCAACTATGGTATCAGATTTCTATAGCTATGAATTAGATTGCATGAAAATGCCTTCCTGGCTGCAACTGCACAGGGGCATCCATTCATCACACATATGGCACAGGGTCACCCCACTTCCAACTTTTCTTCATGGAGACAGAAGTTTAATGCAGAGAGAGTCACACATCAGACCTCTGACTTCTTACACTAGAATTCTGATTTTTCATGTTTTCATTATTTCAAGTAGCCCCCTACTGTTAAGGATACCGCATCTTCAGTTGCCAAATCTCCATGCCTAATTTGATTTTAATTTATGCTCCACTTAAGACTTTAAATTTCTGTACTTTCTTGATGCAGCACATCTGAAGGCTATTAATTCCAATGCACTGACAGAATTAACAGAAAACGATGGAATAAGAATATGTTCATTTAGTATGTTTTCAAAATACCATGTATACTCGAGTATAAGCCAACCCGAATATAAGTCGAGGCACCCAATTTTATCACAAAAAACTGGGAAAACTTATCGACTCAAGTATAAGCCGAGGGTGGAAAATGCAGCAGCTACTGATAAATTTCAAAAATAAAAATAGATACCGATAAAATTACATTAATTGAGGCATCAGTAGGTTAAATGTTTTTGAAGATACTGCCCTTCTGAGCTGCGAGACACAATTCACTGCCTGTGAAAGGAGGACTCATACCGGATGCTGCGCTTATCTACTGCTCTACTGCTGCGTAACAAGATGGAGGGAGATGGAGGATGGAGGCAGAAGGTGGGAGGAGGAAGGTGGGTACATTGAATATGCAGAAGGAGGAGGATGGGAGTGTCCTGGAAGGGGAAATGCAGTGTACTTAACCCGGGTCATTGGACCACCCACAGAGGCTGCAGCCGCCTGTAGATGAGCGGGGAGTCTGGAGAACACCTGCACTGCAGGGAGAACATGTAATTGTGACACTGACTCGAGTATAAGCTGAGGGAGGTGCTTTTTCAGCAAAAAAATTGTGCTGAAAAACTAGGCTTATACTGAAGTATATACAGTAAATTTTTTCACATGGTGCCAATTATTTTTCTTACTACCTTGTGCTATATTCTCTTTGAGGAGAATGTGCTTCAGGTTACTGTATTCAGAATTGCTATAAATAAATTTGTTATTACGGGACATTTTCCCAGTTCTTCGATTTTCTCTTCTTTAACTACTAGGATTCTCTGACAGCATGACTGTCATATATAACTGCATCAATAGATGCTTCCTTCCAGTAAGAGATAAGGATCCCTGTAGTAACAGCAATAGTGTAGCGATATTACATTGCTTGGCCTTTGGGGCAGGGGTTAGTGATATATATATATATCCCAGTGGTCCATAAAAAAAGTAATGTGGCTGGTGAGATCTAGCTATGCTTGAGAAATCTAATGTTTGAAAATCCCAGTTCCACCCAGTCAAATTCACACCCAGGAGTAATATAATGGAATTTTCTTTTGGATTTCACAATTCTCCAAATTTCACAATCAACATATCTTTTTTAAAAAATGCATATTTTAGGGTAAAATACTTTTCAGTTGTATGCTTTGAAACAAAGGAATTAGAAATGTACATTTTGTGAGAAAATACTGTCAAAAATGTTTCTTCCAGTATGATTTTGTGAAGAATTTGAAAATCTGAATATTAGTTTGGCAATGGGATGAAACGGATATACCAATGAATAAATGAGAACTCGCATGAAGACAAAGTAGCCTGCAAGAGTGCTGTGATGACACAGACAGAAAATAGCTGTTTTTGCCTAATCTCCTGAGACTCAACTCCAAAAATCTTAAAGGGGAATTATTTTAACTGTTTAAGATATGGGTTCATTAGACTCATTTTTGGAAGCAAAAAACTGCTTGCAAATTTGGGTGATGCTGGCTGTCCTATTGTGGGGAAGAAGTCCGTGAAAGGGCCTCAGTACGACTTGGATCCAATATATGAAGTAAATGAACAAATAAAACCATTCTGGCACGAATGGGCTGCTGATATTAATCTTCTTCAAACAGAGATTAGAGATCTGTTGAAGAAACTATCAGGGCTAGCAAATGCTGCTAATCAAGCTGTGGAGCTGGGGATTGATTGAACACCAACAGTTTATAAATGCTCTGACAAGCTTCATGGCAGATCTGAGGCCTGAACTGAGTTCCTGGAAAACAAAGGGATATACAGTACTCTAATTTGAGAGTGAGAGGAGCCCATTCTCCAGTATCTGGAACTGACTTGAATACTTTAACTCTCCAACTGTTTACTGAATTGTGTCCTAAAATGACTATTTCAAAGGAAGATTTTAATTCAGTGCACAGAATTTTCCCCTCCTTCACTAAAAGGAAGCAGGAAGCCTGGTGACATAGTGGTCAGTTTTGCAAGGGAGCACAGGAAAGATGCCATATTAGCAGCTCTTAAAGACAATAACAATACATTGTGTTCCAGAAAGGAAACATACAGCTTTATCAAGCTCTTTGTCCCTTAACTTTGCAATGCTGCAAAATATACTAGCCATTCACAAACCTCTTACTTGAAAAAGGAATAACATAGAGATGGGGGCATCCAACAAAACTGATTATTAACTGGGATGGAAAAAGAATCATTCTCAATTCAACTTCTGAGGCATGAGATTACCTATTCTTCTTCCCTATAACAATTCACACGATGCCAGAAAAGAAATCTTTTGGATCATTGCAGCTACCTCCTATGGAGTTGCAAGGAAAAAGAAAAGCCAGACGCAAACATGTCCACCCCAAACAGCAATGAGTGGTTGTTAATTCTGTGATAATTATATCTAATTAGAATTTTATCTAATGATCAGAGTTAAGTGCTTCTGACTCTGTTCTCCTCTGCATATTTTGCCAATAATGGCCTAACAAGGTTAACTGGTGTTGCCGGTGGTAGACAAAGAGAATGAGTGCGACTGTCGTCCCACCTACATACCCCCAGGTTTTGCCCTCTTGTTGCTGCTGTCCTTTGGGTGACAGCCTGGAACCTTTGGCCATGGTTAATGTGCACAATTTTTTCCCAATGGTACAGGTTCTATTGCATGTTTTGAGCCGCAGGTTCTTCATAATCACATGGAGTAGTTATCGCCTTCTCCCCACAGATAAATTTCCAGTATGAAGGAGAATCAAAAGGCCCAAATGGCAGGTTCCTCTTGGTAAAGGAATTTATTAGAAACATCAGATTAACAGTGGGATCCATATGTAGTCCAAACACACAGTGGATTTCTTTCCCTTGAGATAATATCGTCAAAACAATTTGTCTAAAAGGAGGCGAATTCTTGCTTGGGGATGACCTTAATTTAACTGCAAAGCTGTAATAAACAGTAACACCAATAAAGCTCCACATTGTGCTCTACTGCAACAACTCTTCAGGGAATTCAATTTGACAGATACCTGGAGAGAACAACATCCAGGTGAGAAGGACTACTCTTAAATTTACAAACATCATAGATCCTATTCAAGGATAGATTTACTGGTTTCCAATGTATGGAAAGTATATCTCAGGGTGGCATAAACTAGATCCCTAACAGCTTCTGATCGCACACCACTCCAAGCAACACTTCATCTTTCTGTGCCACGACCTAAGCCCTTCTCATGGTCCTTGAACCCAGCTTTACAATGCAGAAAAGGAACTACATAAAACATTTAAAGTGATAATTGTGAACTATATTAAAGAAAGCAATGCACAAGAAGTGCCTATCACTACGCCATGGGATCCTTCGAAGGCTACAATATGGGGCATAAGTATTGCTGATTCTTG